TTTGCTGAACTTGTCTTCGAAAACCAGTCGCTGATTACACTGGAAAACGGAGTACTTCACTACCATCAGGTTGGAAAGAAGGAGGTGAACAGTACATGGGAGCTTGATGGTGATACTCTGAATGTTGTAAGTTGGCAGAATAATAGCATATTTTTCAGGAAATTCAGTGTCCGTTTTCCTGACAGCCATGAGGGTTTCAAGCCTGTTTACTTCCTAATGATTATTTCCATGACTCATTTGGATTAATGAAAAGCCCCTGATTTTGCATAATTTTAGTCATGCATTGCTATCTTGTCCTTTATAATTGACTTGGTATTGAAAAGCTTGCCGTACAACATATCCTGACATGGCTTAAAGTCCACCGATTCCATGATGCCTGCGTTTGTAGTCTAACCGGATGCGGCACAGGAGAATGGCCGCATCAATGTCGTAAATCATAAACAGCTATCTGCCACCGTTCCTGGAGATCGACGTACCGATATCTTTCCTGCGGCCGGTGGAAACACTCTTTTTGTCATTCATGTTCAAAAAATCGCTTAACTTCATATTTAACTCGCTTTTCGAACTAATAAAGTGGGCATGTCGGGAAACGAACGCATCTTCACCAAAAAGAGCAATTTATGCCAGCCATATTTCAAGACAGCCCCAGTAAGCACCGCCTAACTATCAGAGGTGTAAAGGTGTTTACTGAAACTGCCTTGTATCCTCTTCTTTGTCCGATTTATTTTGCTTAAATGCCCACTGAGTTGTTTTACCGAAGAAGTTTGGATAGAAGAGTTAACACCACTTTCACACATTTTTGCGTAGAACTCAAAAAAACCCAACATTGGAAAATGCCAGAAAGCACATGCTGAATACTGTTGGGCGAATTTATTAACTGGACATCTCTCAGCTGCGTTAGGCTCCGGCAAAATACCGGTAAAACATGTGTCCGGGCTATTGACTGCCTGTAAGTTGAATGTAACTTATGAAGCGATTATTCTGCCGAAGTTGATGGATCCGTATCATCTTTTAGACCGAACCTAAGAGGGTCTGCCGCGGAAATTTTGCCCCACGTCCACACATTAATTTCTGAGGAAATTAAACAGTAAACAATGAGTAGGCGGACTTTCTCTTTTTTTCGGTGAATGCAACGTTAGGCGAGCCTGTCAGGCTTCGTAAGGTCGCACCAGGATGTCCTCGAACAAATGCCAGTCACATGCGTGGACTTTTAAGTTTGTTTTGGCGACTGAAGGCCGGGCTCTCGCTCATTGGCTGTGCTTCACCCAATCAACTTACACGTCCTTGTAACTGAAGTCTATCACGCCAAAGCTCTGTCCACGCGTAAAAGATGGAGAATTTTCTCGGTTCATGGCTGCTGGAGAAAAACGAAAAGTTTGTTGAATTTTTGTATTGTCTTGGTGTGCCCTACCTCGTTTGCAAATTCGCCAACTGGCTGCCCACGACAATCAATATATGCCAGGAGGCAGGGGAGTATACCATTGAGACCGTAACCACCTTCAAAAGAACGAAAGCGAGATTCAAGCCTGATGAGCCGTTTGAGGAAACTAGCATGGGTGATACGAAACTCAAGGTTTGCTTATTCATTTGCTGAACATATCTTCGAAAACCAGTCGCTGATTACACTGGAAAACGGAGTACTTCACTACCATCAGGTTGGAAAGAAGGAGGTTAACAGTACATGGGAGCTTGATGGTGATACTCTGAATGTTGTAAGTTGGCAGAATAGCAGCATATTTTCCGGGAAATTCAATGTCCGTTTTCCTGACGGCCATGAGGGTTTCAAGCTTGTTTACTTCCCAATGAGTATTTCCATGACTCATGTGAATTAATGAAAAGCCTCTGATTTTGTATCATTCTAGTCATGCATTACTATCTTGTCCTTTATAATTGACTTGGTATTGAAGAGCTTGCCGAACAACTCATTTCCGACGTGATTAAACGGACCCCTCGCAACCACGTCAGGCCTCGGCAAAAACCGGTAAAACGCGTGTACAGTGCGTGACCGATCTCACGAAATGTTAGCCAAAATTCTGGAATGTGTTTCCGATTAGGAAGGATTACTTAAGTGGGTTGTTATACTGATTATCATACAGCATAACCCCATAACATTTCGGACTCGCCGGGATGTCTGCTTTTGAACGCATTTCTCTTTAACCTTCTGCAGAAAGCACACTCGGCAAAAAATGGCTACTTAAGTAGCATGCATTTTTCCTATTGATTTTCGATGGTCTTATGAACTCAAATATTTTTTACAGAAAACATGTACAAAATATGCTTTCCTTTGCTCATTTGGAAGGAAGTCACATTTTCTTTATATTTTATGCCCGAAGAAAGTGTGTATTTATGATTTAGAAAAGTTTCTAATTATGAGATTTTTAAGACCTTGCGATGTCCATGCATGCAAGACCGCACATGTCCGTTTCCCAATGCCCCTCATGAAATGTATGACACAGTCCGGATCCATTGCAAAATTTCATAAACTCTTTGTGGTATCCTCTTAAATGCATGGAGGAATAGATGATTTTCCTTACGCGAAGAGCATGCACCTTATAGACTGAAATTACTAAACGCTGATGCAACGGCAGATAAGACTGAAAATTATTCGGGAATCGGGGAACCGTTTAAAGACCTAAGTATACACTTTCTTTGGACATAAAATATGAAGATAATATGACTTCCATCCAAATGAGCAAAAGAAGGCACGTTTTTGTACATGTTTTCTGCAAAATATATTTGAATTTATAAGACCATCGAAAATCAATAGGCAAAATGCATGCTACGTAAGTAGTCATTTATCACCGAGTGTGATTTCTGCAGGAGGTCAAAGAGGGGTGCATTCAAAAGCCGCCATCCTGGCGAGTCCGAAATGTTATAGGGTTATGCTCTATGATAATCAGTATAACAACCCCACTTAAGTAATCCCTCCTAATCGGAAACGTATTCCCTAATTTTTGCTAACATTTCATGAGATCAGTCACGCACTTTACGTGCCATTGACCGCCTGTGGGCTGAATGTAACTATTATGCGGTTATTTCGCTGGAGTTGACTGATTCAATTCAACTCTTAGACAGAACCTAAGAGGGTTTATCCCGGAAAATTGGCCCCACGACTGCAATAATAAGTTAGCCTACTCTATCTTTTTCGGTGAATGCAACATTAGGCTTCGTGAGGCAGCGCCGGGTGCCCTCAAACACGGCGCAGCCGCACCTACGAACGTTTCATCTAGACTTAGCGTTTGACGGTCAGGCTGTCGCTCATTGGTTGTGTCTCCGGCGCCAAGTCAGCTTACACTTTGTTTTAACTGTGATCTACCACCCAGAAGCGCAGTCAGCGGGAGAGAGAGAGAGCATAAACAATGGAGAAGTTTATCGGATCATGGGCGCTCGAGAAAAACGAGAACTTTGTTGAGTACCTGCGTCGCCTCGGTGCTCCCTACATGATTTCTAAGCTCGTTAACCTGCTGCCCGTGACGGTTAACATACGTCAGGAGGCAGACGAATACACCATCGAGAACGTAACCACCCTGAAGAAGACTAAGGCGAGGTTCAAGCTTGACGAGCCCTTCGAGGAAACCAGCATGGGTGATACCACTTTCAAGGTTAGATGGTGCATGCACTTAACTCATATTCAAAACTAGTCGCTGATTAGACTCGAAAATGGAGAACTTCACTACCAGCAGCGTGGAAAGAAGGAGATAAACGGCACGTGGAGTGTCGATGGCGAAACCCTGAATGTTGTAAGTTGGGAGCACGACAGCGTACTTTTATTCTAGAAATTCAGTCCTCTTGCCTATCTGATTGGTCTGAGGGCATTAGGCCTCTTTGCATCCAAATACTCATTTCCACTACCTTAATTCTCCCTCGGACCTTTGTACTTCTGGCTTAACAGAGTAGCATTCGCGGGACTGCCCTGATTGCAAGATGGCCTACGGGTTTTCCATTTTCTGTAACATAGGAAGGAAAACGGGGAAGTTAACGGCCGAGGGATTTCGCAAATCAGAAGGGCGCAGATCTACCAGGGCAAGCTGAGGTTGACCACATGGTCTAACTGTTTGCATAGGTCGGGTTTCTCCCGCCGTATGTAGACTGCCTCCAAGTAGCGCAGTAACCGAGTTGTTCGGGCTCGAAAAGATGTTTTGGGGTCAACCGAATGACCCTGATTAAACGGAGATATCCAACACGGTTCATTGAAAAGTGCGGCAACAATTTACAGCCAAAATTGACGGAGCAATCGGTTCCGAAAAAGCCCGTTGTAATAGCTTTACCCTTTAAGGGTGACAACATCTCAAATACCACCAAGCGGCGATTGAGATGCGCCACTGAAAGAATATACAACTCAGCTGAACTCATATTCTGCAGCCCCACCAAGGCTATCCAAGTTCCACGGGCGAAGGATGCCTTGCCATTGCACGCCACGTTCAATTGTGTTTGCGAATTAACATGCACTTGTGGATGCAAGTACACTGGGCGAACGCAAAGGCAATTGGCAGCCAGGTCAGTTGAGCACCTGCCTAAATGGCTTCTAAAGCATGAGAATAAAATCCCACGGTCTTCTATTACAAACTACCTCCTTGATAGCGGTCATTCGGTTGACCCCAAAACATCTTTTCGAGGGTTAGTTCGAGCACGAACAACTCGGTTACTGCGCTACTTGGAGGTAGCCTACATACGACAGGAGAAACCCGACCTATGCAAACAGCTAGACAATGTGGTCAACCTCAGCTTGCCCTGGTAGATCTGCGCCATTTTCTGTAACACCCGTCTGGAGCCCCCAGGCGATCGTATGAACAGTTAATAATCTGGTATATGAAAGCATGGGAAAGGCTAACCTATGTGGCTCTCCCGCGACAGGATACGGGAAGATAGACCCCCCCCCTCCCGGAACACGGTTGTTTTGCTCCAAATTCAAGGTTGCGATTGAGACTAGTGTTAGAATCAGAATGCCGGAACAGGTAGCATTCCTCGAATTTGGCGTACGGTCACGCGCGCGGGGTGGGGGAACCCTCCGACTTCTGTGTCCTACTGAGGAGGCCATGTAAGTTATCCGCACCAACGCACGCCTCAAATGGCTGAATCGGACTCGAATCTCGGGCCTTATCGACCTGGGTTGGCGTACAGCTATTTAGATACGGTCAATCCCAATCTCCCTCATCTTTGTGAGTAGTATTCGTCAATCCGGTGTATGTGCTGTAAGTCCACCTTTGCCATCCTACCGAACCCCTAAGGGGTCCCTATCCTGCATATGTTCCCAGATGTCTTCGACCTGCCTAACACACTTATTGGTAGGATGTCCAACCTTCCACCTTGTGTTCCCTGTCTTTGAATGTTGCCACCTCAAAGCACTCAGGATTGCTCTGCAAAAAGTTTGGTAGCAGACCCTCCAGAAGAAATAGAATGATGTGCATTTCCTGCAAAAATTCCTTGTTTTTAAATTTTAGGTTATAAAAGTTGAGGACATCGTTTGCCGTCGCACATACAAGCGCGTGGAGTAGGATTTGTCAGTTTTTTGTCTTTTATTCATACTTTATCCCTGCTATCTTGAATAAACTGGAAATTTTTGTCACGTGTGAGGCCTGACCTTGTTTTCACGTCATCATCCGGTTGAATGAGCCCGCTAGATCACAACGGCAAGGTCGCTATCTAATATACCGGCATACGCATTTGAACGATGAGCCAGATAAAGAACAAGGAAGAGTTTAATGACTGGATGTTATTACTTACAAAGACAAGGGAGACTGGAATGGCCATTTCTGGCTTACTAGCCGTTGCCAGCCAGTCATACATAACCCTGAAGTGTGGGACACATGGGGCTTGATCCCACAACCTGTTAGTTACAAGTCCAACGCCTCTAACCACTGATCCACGGGCCCGTTGTCTTTGTTGTTAATGTTATTCTGCCTACATAACGCACCGCTATGCGGCTGCTGGTTGGGCTCGCGGGAGGGCGCCAAGACACAACGAGATGAGTGAGTTCCGTAACACGATCGATGAGCGCCCTACTACCATTACCAGTTTACTGACTGTTTATGACTTATTTGCATAACTTAGCTGTCTTCCGAGTTTGGCAGGCCCGAGGTTTCAACCGGGGCGCAGTTTCTCACTAAACCAACGTTCCACCAATTAGCTGCGAAAGCACACTCCATTATTTCAGACAAAAAAACTACTGAAGACAGTGCGTACATGGCGTGCAATAGTCTTGAGCCATCAGTGTTGGGAAGTAGTCTCGAAACCGAGTCCGCATTTGTACCCTTGCTCGCTGTAATGTCCGCCAAACGAGGGGTGTTTTAAAAAGCCAGACTAGAGGGACACTGCGAGATTGAGAAGTGCGAGGACTTTGGAAAAGGTACTGTCGCATGGGAATTCAACTATATCTATCCGAAGGTGGCTGTTAACAATATGGCCTTATTGTGGGATGGAGATTATGCATTCTTTCGGCCCAAAAGCACATGATGGGATCCTCTCGGGCGTTGAAACCTGCTATCATCAGTGCGAGGTTTGCCGAGTGAATGGAGGTTTTGGCTTCATTTATCGCGGTCTGCTATTTGGGACAGATCTGAGGATTGAATCCAGCTCAGGGGCTTTTGACGGCAGAAGAACAATACCCAGCACAATCATGCTACGTCCACATGACATGAGGATTCTATATCAAAACTGGCAGCGTGAATCGCGAATAAACCTTTGACTGGCTTTCAAGTCTCGGGACCTGCCATCACGAAGCTGAGGCCATTAGCGTTGGAAACCACATGACCTTCCTTTGTGCGACATCTCCACGTGAATCGGCCTGATAGAAGGTGATGCCGCCGCACGGAATATTGTTGCTAGACTGGTTTTACTGCCTTACACGGGCATCGAAAAGTGGATTCAGTGTCAAACTCCAGGCTTTAGCGAAAACATGCCGCAAAAGATAGTGTTTTGGAATTATTCAGCCCTAGTCTCGGGGGTTGTGCCGTGTCGAATACGGGGAGCTAAACCCAAAAGCATGTGGTCTAAACCAGCCGGGCCTGCAATCGTCGCTCACGTTTTTGGCATCGCGAGAGCCAACTGCAGTGCTCGCGTCGGAGCCGACATTCCGAGTCACGTGGGCGCGCGTCAGCCAATAAACAAATGGCTGCGGCGAGTGGCACAACACCGCGCGCCGGGGCGATCGTTTGCGCAGATAAGCCCACCGACGGCGTCGTCATCGCGACTACCTACGAGGAAACTGCAAGCCCTCTTAGCTCAGACTTAATCGTGGTGTAATGGACTACCCAGGCCATCAAGGAAACTGGAACACCAAAGGATTTTTAGGGACAAGTGACGGCTTTAAATGAAATTGCATCCAGGAAGTGGAGGAGGGTGATGTGTCCAGAATAGTTTCCGTAATTTGGACCTACTGATCATTCTGTGTGTAGCACCTCCCCGTGCTATTGAATCGCCTTTTGACTGCCGGCGATTTCCCCGTACAGCGGGTCCTCAGCTGCCCTGGCAGTGCCGTGGCAACCGATATTCTTAACCATGACCTTAAGTTGGAGAGACGACTTAAGTGGCATTTAGAGGCAAATGAGCACGAAATAGAGGTCTAAGTTAGTTCAGACATCTGGAATCCGCCAAATCTGATACAGTAAGCTGACCGAAACACCTCTGAATTACGTGAGCCCAGTAGTCACCCGGTGGAATCTAGGTGTATTACTTAGGAAATCACGCTTGGATAGTCAACTTACTGTATCAAATTTGGTGGATTTCAGACGTCTCAGTAGGTCGGGCGGGTAAAATTGACCCAGATGTGATTAAACTCGCGTCGTCCGGTGGGGCCTCGCAGCTCAGATGGTTAGAGCGTTGGCTATACTAAAGCCTCCCCTTGCTGTCGTGGGTTCGAATCCCAGCGAGGCCCCGAGTTTTTCACAGTTGGTTCAAAGTGAATTATTTGAAACCTACCGAAACACCTCTGAATACGTGAGCTTGGTAGTCATCTGGTGGATTCTAGATGTATTACTTAGAAAATCCTGCTTGGGCAGTCAGCTCAGTTCAGACACTTTCTGGGTCTTTGTGAGGCATTTTTCAGCCTGTGGCGACGACCAGACCTAGAAAGAAAACACTTCCGCGTCTAATATAGGCAGAATGACATTACCGACAAGGGCAAGGGAGATCGGAATGTCGGTAAGGTCGTTCTGCCTATATTACGCGCCGCTGTGTGGCTGCTAGCGGGGCTCGAGAGAGAGGGAGGGAGCCCCAAGGCACAACGGGCTGAGTGAGTTCCGTAACGCAATTGGTGCGCGCCCCTCTACGATAGCTGTTCTCTGTTAAACATCCCGGCAACGGTATAGAGAAGGGCCCCAATTAACTGTCAGTAGACCGTGGATCGTGTTATATGAGGTTTTAGCTTGGCATACATTTGCAGGCTGTTGCAGAAATCACACCGCCAACAACAACTATTTCCCACGACCGAACACCTAACTCAAATCCGTTAATTTGTGAAATTTATTTTTTTGTTGATTGTTTACTTACTACTTCCATTTCCATTGTCGTATAATAGCGTAGGATAAGACTTTTGGCAGCTTACTGTCTAGCTTGCTGACCCACCCATTAAACTCCCTTTACTATCAATCACGTATGGCACGATCCACAGTCTACTGACAGTTAAGTGGGGTCCTTCTTTATACCGTTGCCAACATCTCTTATTCCCTAAGTACTCTGACTGGTTAGAAGTCTCCTGTCAAACGGCTGACTAAGCACAATGTAGTCCTGCCATCACGAATACACATTTAGCCAACGTTAAAAACGTAAAATTTGCCCCGTTTAGGTGTAACTGCTGGAGGTTTGCATTGTTGCTAACAGGTATACTGAGAGAACTCGGCCAGTGATCTTACCTCGCCGCGTAGACAGTAGCAGATGTTGTAGAGGTAGAGAAAAAGGTTGAGCCAGTCTCCAAACCAGTAGGAATTGCTTTTCGAGACCTTCTCACGTATGCTTGGCTTCTGCATCAAGTCATCCTGCGTGAAGTCATGCAGCATGTTCTCATCAGGCTCAGGTATCTTGCCGGGACTGCAGTGCTTCCTTGACATGAAGGAAAAGAAAATCGGATGAAGTAACCCTGCTTTCAACACAGGCCTAAGTGGTTTGCTGCTCTCTCATGCATAAATTTTGTTGTTTTCGGGTGAACCTGCTCGCTTCACTGTTAGTATGCAGGACTGTTATGTAGATGTGCTGAAGTAAAACGCGAGACGGTCTGACTCACTGTGTGCGTTTACGGGGTTGCGCGGAGCCCGTTCGAGACAATAAGTGCCACTGAACACGCGCGTTGCACGCCTTAGACGTAGATCGTACGCCACGCCTTCCAGCGCACAAATCTCAGCACCAGATTGCTGACAGGCTCTCGAAGAGTCATCTAGTGTATTTGAGAGGGGAGATAGAGGTCGGCGCTGGAGAAACCATCCCCACGGCAAATTAGCACATTCCTGTCAACAGTGAACCTGACGTCCTTGAATCAAACACAAAGCGCCAAGAGTTGTGACGCGGAAGGTTTTCAAATAGCAGGAAAACCCGGTTATTTTTTGCTTCGGGAAGCCAATGGATCGGTGTGCGCCCATTCCTGAGTGAATAAATACCCTATATGCAGCGACAGAGACTGGCAGATGGCGAGGCACTGATAAACTTCGATTCGATTAAGTGCATATGACCCATCTGGTAGACCCCAGTGGTGGACCAGCTACGCCAGATGCGTCTGGGCGCATGTTTGTATTTCCGGTCCCAGCATCGAAAATCACGTCTTCTTCCGATTTCATACTCGAAAAAAGGGTATAATTCGGTTTTTAGAAAGTTTCTAATTGTGAGATTTTTTAATACCGTGAAATGGCCGTTCATAAAACGTCATGTAGCTGCATTTACAAATGTGGCTTCTAAAGTTAACAATGTTGCTCAAATTCACTGTGTTATTTTATGAACCCCATATGGTCTCCTCTTAATACCGTAGAGAAATGCATGGTTTTCCGTACACGGAAAATATGCGGCTTGTCGTTTTCAAGCCTTGAATGCAAGTGTAACAGCAAGTTGGGTTCAAAATTATTCTGGAATTATAAAGTTTTGAAAACCGAATTATACTCTTCTTTCAAGCATAAAATTGGAAGAAGATGTGATTTTCTATCGAATAAGTAAAAGACTATTTTTATGCATGTTTTCCATGGAATATACTTAAATCTTTAAGGACATCGAAAATTAATGAGAAGATTGCATGCTACGTAAGTAGTCATTTTTTGCAGAGTATAGTTCTTACATGCAGTCGAAAATAAGTTAATTCGAAAGCCGACACCCTGAGGTAGCTGGATCATTACTTCAGGTGGGGCTACATAACTACATCTGGCCGGAAAAACTGTGGAGAACTGCCCACTATGTTCTTCAAAGAAGGCGTTGTTCTGCAGACTCTTTGACTGGCCCTTCGTCGGCAGAATGGCATTCGCCTACCTACACCACCCCGAGGAGCCGGTGCTGCTTAAATGTCTGCATTTGATCATTGTTCGGCAAACCTTAAACATAATTTTTAGTAAGGAAAAGCTCAATTTGAAAAAAAACTCGGGCGGAGAGCAGTCAGGTAGTAAAAAGTGCTCAAAATAATGCATATGTCGGCCAGCAAAGCAGGAGCGTTAAAATGGTAAATTTCGTTAAACAACAGTTAGCACTTTCTTACCTCCCCCACCCCCCCCCCCCCGTATAATTAATCCTTGCCGATTTTAATTACTGATAGCACATTGTTGTGCAATCGCCCGTGATCAAACTGTTTAATTAAATTGTTATGGGCCAGGCAGACTATTGGTGTGAAGGAACGGAAGTTTTCAGTGGTCAGTTATTACTCTAACCCTGGGGGGAGGCGGGGGGGGGCGAGCCTACATGCTCAGCTAAGTAACGGTGGCACTGATCACTATTACTATCAAAAACAGGCAAGTTAGGTCGTGTGTGTTTACAGCTAGAACGTGCGCTGCCAGCTGCACGAGGATGTCGACCATATAAAACACTGCCTACGCTACTCTTGCAAAGTGCCTGGAAGGGCGTGACTCGCGAAAGTACTTCTCGCTAACATTAATCAAAACTTCATGACGATTTACGAGTGTAGCCTTCCCCATTAGCCGCTGGCTAGACAAATGCAACAATTAGGGTGTCGACACTAAGTTTTTTTAATGACCTTATGCAAAGCCTCACTCACGCATCCGCCGTCAGGACTAACCGGCTAAATTCTACATCATTTGTCTTTATAAAAGCTCCACACAATTCGGAGTAGTCGGCTTATGACATGTCGCTTCATTCTGGCTTCTGCTTACTTGCAGATCGACCAAACTCTATATCTGATCAAAAAGCCAAGTTTTTGAGGCAAGGATTAAGTATATGATCAGGGCAAGAAAATGCTAACTGTTGTTTAAGAAATTCACCAGCGTTTTAACACTCCTGCATTACTAGAAAACGTATGCAATCCATCTAACAATATATCGAAGATTTTTTTCGGATCATCAGTGGGTCCCCCAGAATTCCCGTGTGTTTTCTGGTAGATACTCCAATTTAGAACTGGTCTCGGTCTGGGCCTATAGACCTTGAATAAACTGACCTACTCCAACTTCGTAGATAATTGCTGAGGAAATTAAAAGCGACAATTTCTAAATTGGAGTACCTACCAGAAAACACACAGGGAATGCTGAAGAACCCACTGACGAACCGAACCCCTCGCAGCTGTACCCATGCAGCGGCAGAATATCGGCGAAACACGCGTGTACGAGCTTTTGGCTTGTACCTGTGCTGTTAGTATGGTATCACCTTACTCTAAAGTATACTACTAGCTGCCTGTCGGCAGTTAATGAATATTACGCGATTACTCGCTGTGGCTGATGGACTTTGGCCCAAGTATTCATACATAAAATTCTCGGTCTGAGCCTATAGACCTTGAATAAATTGATCTACTCCAACTTCGTAGATAATTTCTGTGGAAATCAAAAAACGACAGTGTAGACATTTCAACAGCACTGACTCTTCGGGACGGTACAGGTTAGCGAATGTCATCCTGCCGACGAAGGGCAGACCAAAAACTCTACCGGACAACACCTACTTTAAAAAAATATTGTAGGCAGTTCTCCGTGGTCTTCCCTTACCCCGCGCATATAGCTGACCCTTACCGTTTCTAAAATGTTGTTGACTGCAGTACTCTCAAACCCTGAAATTTTCCATATTTTATATCTGAGTATTTCTTAGTTAGTTAGTTAGTCCTATAGATTCCTAGGTAAATGTGGCAACTCCCTACTACTAGAACTGATCCAGAAGGCTTATCATACTCACGCCGTAAATTCAGCGTGACGATTATTCCAGCAAAAGGTGTCGGAAGCCATATGGTGATTCGTGCTCGCGAACGCTCCTCTCGACGAGGCGGCCTTGGCCTCGTCAGCCTGAGCCTGCGCACGCACCGTCGACCTCAGCGAGTATTCGCGGCGCCGCTGATTGGTGGATTCGTAGAGGTCATCGCCCCCATGCACCAATCGCATTGACGTAAGACGACGAACCAGTGGTCACGCCTCTGGCCACCTCGCGTGCGGACAGAAGCATCTTGCGGCGAGCTTTTAAGTGATGCTGTGATTGCATTAGTCTAGCACGTCTAAATAATTATACTGAAGTAATTATAAATTTCTGCCTATGCAGGCCTCTCTGTATTCTATTTATAAAGCTTGTACATGGGTCTGTAATTCCGTTAGAAGTGACCCGCGCCAGAAAACCCCTCCAAGTGTCTTAAGATGTAGCTTGTCGACATGAAGATGAGCACTTGTATGGCGCTACGAGTGCCCCTAGTCAAACTTAACGTCACTGAGACAGACACATCTCGCATTCCTCTGCATCCACGTCGGTAGGTGCACGTGTGCACAGCGCGCCCTGACACCACTCGCTGATTGGTCCAGTAGTTACGTGACCTACATGCGGGCTCTGGCCTCCGCAAGTCACCTGCAACCGCTTCTTTGATCTATTTGGATGATGGCCGTCCCTTGAAGACTGTATCTCTCAGTCTTCTTATTTGGGAACACACGCCTGTTTTGGATAGCATGTGGTGTCATAACTTACAGGCCTGACTGAAGTATACGTACCAACCCAGCGGTAGTGTCGATGAAGGACCTTGGATACTCTAGGGAATATATTTCATTTTAGCCGAATCATAGGCCTACTCTACATCCTTCCCCACAGTCAGGTACAAAAGTCACCTCTCTACCTGGCTATAAAACCGTGAGGTAGACCCGTTATTTTCATGGTCAGAGAAGCTGTTTGAAGTAAGGACCTCAAGGGGCAAACATCACAAAGCCAATCCTCTGAAATTTGCCTTGCCTATAAGCTCTCCTTGTACACTTTATTAGCTCCTATCAGTTGTTACCTTTCAGAATTAACTCCACCAGGAAACGAGGTCGAAATAAATCATATGTTTAATTCACACCAGGTCATTGCGATCTCTCCTTCATTTACAGCCGTCATTTCCGGAGTACCTGCTGTCTTCCATTCTTTACTATAGGGGTTGATGTGGTCCCTTGGTAGACGCGATGTGTCAACCGTCCAATCGCGACAAACCGAAGATTCGGCTCTCCGTCTGGTCATAGGTTTACTGTTCGAAAAGGCGTCTTTGGCGTTGCTTCGCACGGACCTATGTCCGCCGCCGATCAGCACGATTAACTCGTCTTCTACGTACAACTGCCAGAGTTGGCTGGCACACTTTTTCGGTATAAGCCGCTAATCAACACCGGTGACTGAAAACGGCCGAATCTGGAGAGGAAGGCTTTCAGATAACCGTACAATTAACTGTTTTCGTCTTAGCTCTCTCTGCCACAATGATGGGAGAGTGTGGGTTTTTACAGTACGAAAGCATCTGTAGTGACTACTAGGGGTGGCTGCTGCAGTACTGAGCTACTTGCATGCATTTATAAACCCGTACCAATGGCAGCCTGGTTCTCAGCCGATCAACTCTCACGAGATGCCAGGATCTACGGGATTTCTCGCAGTGACAAGGAGGACGTTGTTGGTGTCGACCGTCCCTGATCTCAACACTTTCAATGCCACTGACATTTGCACCACTCTTAGCGGTCGTCGAGTCCTTTTTATCGACCGCCTTATCGTCCAGGTGATTAACCATTAGGCTTAACGCCAGAGTCGCCTTCAAGTAGGCCTTTGGTCTAGGTGGGGGGGGGGGG